CGGAGTCTGACACTTTTATCTATATATCTTACATTAAAGCTAATGTAATATGCTTTATCATGAAAAAAAAATTTCGGACTTTATCTTATCTTCATGGTGAAAACAGACATTAAACTTAATAAAAAAAATACGATTTTTGTAAAAAAATTCTTTTTTATATTTTTAACTTTATAATGCTATAACTTTTTGAAAGATGTATGGATCAATATAATTCTTTTTTTTTGTAGATGCATGATGTCTTTACCTATCATTTGGTATATTTTTTTTATAAATCTGACTTTTGACCTGCCTACAGGGGGGGATTCAAAATGACAACTTTTTCACAAAAAATTAACTTTTTCAACTTAAATTTTGAAAGTGTTCCGGAAAGTCTGACACTTTTATATATATCTTAAATTAAAGCTAATGTAATTTACTTTATTATGCAAAAAAAAAATGTTGGACTTTATTTTATCTTCACGGTGAAAATGGCTACCGAATGCTATTTTTGTGTGAAATTTTTCGATTTTGTATTTTACATTTTTAACTTTATAATGCTATGACATATTTAAAAGTGTATGGATCAACATTATTTTTTTATAAGAAATAATATTTTTTAATAATCCCTTTTTCATTCGACATACTTTATCTTAATTAAGATATTAATAATGAACTAGCAGATCATGAAGCTTTTGGAATAATCCACCAATTTTTTAAAATTAAACACTATCTAAAGATTTGCATCGAAGCGTTTTTTTTTTTGATAGTGATTTTAATCACTGTCAGATATCATTATACTTGATCCATCTATGCCACGTCACCACTGTGCCGCGACCCCCCTGTGCTGGGTTTTTTAAATTAATAATATTTTTAATATAGTTTTAATTTTACATGATTATAATAACCAAAAATAAAGATAATTAGGATGGTATTAAAAGTAAAGAATGATAATAGCATCATTCGTAACAGCGTTGCCAACCGTACGGTCCCGGTCCGGATCATACGGTACACGGTCGGACATGTCAAAATCATGGAAAAATACGGTAATTGGTAATAATATTAAAATACTCAAACTATACCGCCAATTTAACTTGAATAATTTTATTTTTTTGTACGGTCATTATTTTTGATTTGTTTCGTGAATTGAGTGTTATTGTCGATATAAAGTTTTTCCATATTTTTAAAAGTGTTTTGTGTTAGTGATGAATACTTAGATTCACCTTTACCATCGGCATCTTATGGTCAAAGTACCACAAAGCTTGGTCACCGGCTTCAAAAATATAGAAAAAATTGGGAGTCTTTACCTGCGTTCAATAAATGGCTTGAATCCGTTAAAAGCAATAATTTTAAAGCTTATTGTTGTTATTGTAAAATAGAAATGGTTTCGGAAATAACAACATTAAAAAAACATGCAAGTTCTTCTAAACACTGTGAAAATTCCAAATCCATTACAGGTGTAAATCTTATAACTAATATGTTTAAAAAAGGAGACCAGGTAAAACGAATCGATCAAATCAAAACAGCTGAAATATTAATGTGTGGTTTTTTATCTAAACACAACATACCTTTTAATGCTATTAATCGCTTGACCCAAGTAATGAAAAAAGCTTTTCCTGATTCTGAAATTGCTCAAAAAATCGTATTAGACCGAACAAAGGCCACAAAAATTGTTACAAATGTCATAGGACTTAGTAATAAAGAAGAGTTAATTAATGATCTTAAAAACACATCTTTCAGTGTAATAATTGATGAAAGCACTGATGTAGGAACACTAAAAACTTTGTGTATTTGTGTTAGATATTTTAATCTAAAAAGTAATAAAATACAATCCAGATTTTGGGAGTTAGTTGAATTGTTTAAAGACAGTAATTCAGCTAATGAAGGTGCAACTGCAAACAAAATTTATACTGAAGTTATGAACTGATTGAAAAACAAAAATATTCCTTTGAATAATATTATAGGCTTTGCGTCTGACGGATGCAACACCATGTTTGGACCTTGGAACTCGGTTGCAAGTCGATTTAAAGAAGACTTTCCTGGAATTATGGTTCAGAAATGTATCTGCCATTCATTAGCACTATGTGCCAGTGAAGCTTGTAAAATTCTTCCTCGTAGGTAAATACGGTTTATATATCTGTAATAAATAAATTTAATTACAAGGTTTGCTGATTATTTGTATAGATGTGAAGATCTAGGTATTAATGTATATAATTTTTTTAAAACAAGTTGTAAAAGAATTGAGCAATTTAAAGAGTTTCAAGTATTTTGTGAGGTTCAACCACACCGTATTTTAAGACCATCCCAAACACGATGGTTGTCACTGGAAATGGTAGTGAAACGAATTCTTGAGCAGTGGGAACCTCTTAAAATGTTTTTTAGATTACATGGTGTCGTAACACAGTAAAGAGAAATGAGGCAAAAGCTGGAAATGAGTGAATGTGTAAAATGTGCAACTGTGTGTACGAAGATGAATATGAGGAGGTGGTGCCTGCTGTATAGGTATTCACGTGCGTGTTGTCGTACAGCAGTCACCGTGCTCGGCTGACACTCCGGGTTAGCTGTGGGTGTCGAAAGGCTGTTGTTATAGGAAGGGAGAATAAGAGTAACACCTAGGTATGAGGTGCAGACGAAGTGCAAGACACAAATACCAGGTGTACGCAAAAGGAGCCCAAAGTATGAGGTGCAGACGAAGTGCAAGACACAAGTACTCTGAAATGTCGAGGAAAAGAGTATATAGGTTAGAAAAGGAATAAACAAAGACTTTACTTTAAACAGTAAGCCGGACAGCGACAACCGAGTACTGAGACTGATGAATGACACAAGGCACTGGAGTCGACTGACCACGATGGTCAGGTCTATTGGGTTTTTATAATAATTACACTTATTGCCGATTTGGCAATAAATATTATTTGTTAATTCATCAGTCTCAGGCAGCGGATGTGCTGTCTGTATTTTATTAAAATAATTCTCACGATTATGAAAACGTGACACCATCACAATGGGTAAAAAAAATTTTATATTTGTAGATCCTAGTACATTGAAACAGACTCTACATAATTAAATAAATTTAACAACTAATGTAGGTTAATACTGTATTTTTCAGATACTTAACCTACTTTGATCATAATAAAATACTTTTAAAAAATATTTTGTTTTTTATCCTTATACTAAGTATATGTGTATATATACTTATAGTATAAGTATATATATAAATATGTTGTGATTGAATGATAAACATTTTTAATAGATTTGAACAATGTGTTATGATGGTAGACAACATTTATGAAAATTTAAATGATCCACTCATTTTCTTATTTTTTAACTTTTTGGCATGGATATTACCCAAGTTCGTTAATCTAAATAAACTTTTTCAAAGTGAAAAAAGTGTAATAGCTTTACTGCATTCTATAATGAAGGAAACTTACGAAGGTAGTTACAACAAAAATATTTTTATTACATATTATATATATATATATATATATATACATAATTTAATAAAGTATACACATGGAAAATAATTTTATTTTTTGACAGATCTGTTGTATTCATTTATGAAAAAGTGTCCAGATCCATTTAATTGTAATTTCAAAGATAATACTATGTTTTTGAGGAATGAGGAGATGTACTTGGGATATAATGTAATGTTGTTAATTCAAAAGCCAGAAATTAATTCTAATAAAACAATGCTTGATGAGTTTTATGAGCAATGCAGACAGTTTTAATTGTTTCCTGTGAAAAAATAAAGAAAAGGTTCTTTGTATATTTATGTAAAGTTTTTAAGTACTTTCTACAAACACAATATTGAAAATTTCAGGTATGATTTCAACAATTCAACATTAATGAAACTCTACTATTTTCAGCCAAAAGTTGTGTTGAGCAATATGTGTATTAATTCTTTATATACGATTAATCAAGAAATCCCAAGAATTGCTCAACAATATAATGAATCTGAGCTTCAAATGATCGATTCTGAGTGGAGAATGCTGAGAATAATTAATTTAAATAGTTTCATTACAAATATTAAGGATGTAGATGAGTTTTGGATAAATTTATATAATTTAGAATGTGATGGCGAGTTTAAATTTAGAAATGTAGCCAATTTTGTTCTAAAGATTTTAAGTTTACCTCATTCATCAGTTGATTGTGAACAAATTTTTTCTCAAGTTAACTTGATAAAAACTAAAATTAGGAACAGATTGCAAGTGGAATCTTTAAATGGATTATTATTATCAAGTGAACACATCAAAAGTGTAAGTTGTGAAAATTTTACCCCAACCAAGTCTATGTTAAACTTAATGAATAGTAAAATGTATAGTTATGAAGAAGCCAAAGAAACAGTTGAATTAGAAAATCCATATTCTAATGTTGTAGAATTTGGGAATTTTACAGCTTAATTTTATAATGTTATCATTTGATAAGCATATATAATGTATATGCTAACATTTCTTATACATTCATATATACAGAGGATTACAAATACAGGTAGCTAATTGGATTTTTATAACATCGATATTAGCAGGTACACAGCATTGTTATTATCAATTGTAGTAAAGCACATTGTTATGAGTTTATAAATACACTAACTGACAGAAAGTAATACAGAAAGTATATCTATTGATAATCATAATTGATAATAAACAATCCGTGAATGAGACAGCAATGTCATAAAAATCCAATTAGCTACCTGTATTTGTAATCCCTTGTGTATTATACCTATATATTAACTCAAAAAATTGAAACTTTAAATGTTTATATCTAATAAACAAATTGAGTTTTATTAAAAATTCAAATGCCATTTATTATTGAATTAAAACCTCAAACATTTCATTAAATTAAAAATATGTGTTACCATTTAAAAAAACAAAGTTGACCCCCCTCCAAGGCATAAGGGATGAACTTAAAAAGTATTACATAGTTAAAAATTCAAGAATAATGTGTAACTAAAGATAATAATAAAAAAAAAAAATGTTTAAATTATTATTATTCTGCAAGTAATTGAGTGGGTTATGATAAAAAAATCACCCTGTATATGTTTAAATGATTTAATAATTAGTTCCAAAAGTAATGGTTACTTTAAAATTTTGTTATATAAGTTATGGAAAAGTTTTTTTATTTATTACTTTTAAAAAAATGCTCTTACCTCATTATATTAATGAATTTTTGAGTGATTAGGTTAAAGTATATGAAATCATAGAGGATAGTAGGTATCACTTAAGCTTAAATGATAATTATTATATTTGATCAAATATATCATCTATATTTACCTATTTCGAGATATGGGGTTTGGTTTTTCTGCTATTAAAGAAAAAGTATATATAATTTCATAAAAATTATTCTATCAATAAAATCAGGTCAAAAGAATACATCAAATACATGTATAATATTAATGAATTATATAATTTAAATTCAAAGAATATTGATCCAAAAATAACTACTTTTAACATACGTTCTTATGGGAAAACAAAAATAAGTAGGCCTCTAGCACAGTGTCGCGATCTAGCGTTAAAATGTATGCCCGTCACATAATCTGACCGAAATCGTAACATGTGAAATATACGTCGATGCTTAACCTGTTTATCTACAATCTGTAGTAATGTGAAATCTTTTGTCCATACGGTCCTATACGGTAATTTAAAGAAAATTGTGCGGTCCGCGCAGTATTAAATGTAGGCAACGCTGATTCGTAAAGACATAATAAATACTAATACTCTGATTTTTAGTTTTTACTTGATTGGTGTAGATAGTGTGTTAAAAAAACTCTTACCCTATATTTACTGGAATAGCGATGATAAAATCTAGGAAAGTGATTTGCAGTTGTTGAAGCGTTTGTTTAAATTAGAGGAAGTATGTTAATAAAAAGAAAATTATAAAAGCGTATTTATTTCTAAGCAAAGTGTTCATTATTTTAACAAATGTAAGTATTTAGACTAATTGAAAGAAGTCAAGTTAAAAGTCAGAAAACATACAAGAATACACTGACATAAACTGTAAGAGAAAAACTAAGCTATGGCCCTTTCATAATAGACAAATAAGTGGTCAGTCAATACGTGGGCGGCATAAATGAGGCTTATGGCGTCGGATCCCCATCCGCATCGACATGTATAATATTTTTATAGGTGATAAGTGTATGCCTTTCGCTACTATACTTATAAATAATTTTAGTAAAAAGTTTAAAATCACCCTTGCACCCTGAGGTGTCAAAGTATCCTTAATAGTTCTATTAATGTTCTAAATGTTTAATTATAATTTTTTTTATAATTTTGGAGCCACGGATATGCGTAGAAAATTGTTGGCTCATGAAAATTATTCATAGAACTTACTTACGAAAAAGTAAAAATGAAATGTACCCCTGAATTAATGTATTTTTTTATGATGTGAGTAATACAAGAATTAGTGAATATTCTTGAGAAGAATATAAAATATAAAATATAAAACCCAATATAAAATTTACCCAAATTTACCCATGCGCGTTTTAGTAGAGGTCATAATGGCGAGCAATTTATGTTATTATATTTCTTAATCAATTCCCTATATATTAATCTAGTCAATATACAGTTACCAACTGGGTTTAGTAAACTATTATGTTTCTATACATATATTTATTTTAAACAAAGAATTATTTATTGAAATGATTATTA